ATTAAAAACATTAAAATTTAAATTGTTAAAATATATAATTTATTGGAACAAAGCTGGAAAAATAAATATGAAGGTCAATTAAATTATAAAATATGAGGTAAAATTCTCCTTTTTAACTTATTTGGTGCATTTTAAATGTATTTATTTATTTAAAGGTTTGTGTATCTATTTCTGCTTTTATTTCTAATTATGTCAGTGTCGGTCCTCCTTTACTGCAGAATTTGGAAGAAGTAGTTCAGTGACTGAAACAGGTGTGTTGGAGCAGGGAAACGTAAAAACATGTAGGACTGCGGCCCTCCAGGACCATGACTGCCCACCCCTGACTTAGTGTAAGTCCAGTTTTCTTAATACACAGTGTGAATATATTCTATGCTCATTAAAACTAATAAAATATATAAAATGTAAAACTTACAAGCCATTTCTATAGTTTGAACTTTTGTTTTAAACTCTATCACTTTGGCCTCGGTTTATTTTTAGGCATGTTTTTTGTAGTAATCATAAAAGCCAAAGCAATGCCATTCTCATCACCCAAGTGCAGACAACAAGGCAGATAATATGACACCTGTTACAATATTCATGAGCAGACGTAAGATGAATACAGTTTACTGTGGATAGGTGTGTGCTTGCATAAATGAGAGTGCTGACAGTTTTGAATTCTGCATCCCACGCTTGTGCGCACACACACAATCACACTTGAAAAGAAGGTGCTGTAAATGCAGTTTGCTAACTGTTACATGTTCTACCCTCCACTAGACTTATTGTAGCAGAGAAAAAAGATACTCATTTTGACTACAAATGCAAAGGCCTAATCGTACTAGTGATCTACAAACACCCTGCACAACACTGTCAGTGTGTGTGTTGTGGGCTGCTGAACATTATTTCCATGGATCACCTTGCAGAAACTCAATCAGCCAGTGCTGCCACTGACAGGGAACAGCTTCAACTAGAATAAATGACCATTTCAGTCATCCACATCATACTGTGTCCCAGAAAAATGTGCTGAGCTCATTTGTGACTTGTTCTAGTATCATAAAGATTTTTTTACACCCTGCAGTTTTTTCATTCTCCAAGTTAAAATCTGCTGTGTTTAAAGCCCTTGGGTCAGCAAGAGAACTCAATCAAGCATCAATGGTGGCAATTGTGATGTACCGTATGTGCTGTGGCTGACACTCAACTCTAAAAATCTTTTGGGGTAAAATATAAACTTTACACAACCAAAGACTTGTGTAAATAAATATGAGGTTCATGAGAGAGAGGTCTTAAAATACATACTTTTATTAGAATTCTTAAAGATGGAAAAATAGTGTAGCTAGTTTTAGTTTAGTTTTTTAGTTTAGTTTAGTTTATTTCAAACATGTATACAAAACAAAACAAAAATGATAAAAAGTGATAACAAAATTAACATATTTGAAAAGGAATGGGAAGAAGTCAAAAACTTATTTAATCCCACCACTCTCCGAAGCTTATTATAAAAAAATAATGGTAAATTCTTATTTTTCCTTATTCTAAGTTACAATTTCATAAAGATTAAAACAACAATCTGTTTACCTAGAATTTTATATAATACCAGAATCTATTCATAAACGTAAATGTACATCTACAGG